GTCCTGTAGCTCTCTGCCACCCCCTTGTAGCCAGTAGGTCAATGTCACCCTCCTGTAGCTCCCCCTTCCCGCCTCCCCACCTTGTAGCTTGCTGCCCTGCCCCCTCCGGTAGCTCTCCACAGCCCGCTTGTACCTCGCTGGCCCAACCTCCTGCTGATCCATGATCTGGTTGTGACGCGCTTGGTCGTTACACCTCAGGGTGTAACGGCTAATTAGCATATTTTTTATTATATAGGATTATGATTATTATTGTTATTATTATACCTATTTTGCAGACGAGGAGACTGAGGCACAGTGAAATGGAGTCACTGGCTCATACTCACACAGCCAGCAAGTAGAAAAGCCAGGAGTCTGAAACAGGGGTGATATCTTCACGGAGCCCTACCGCCCCAGTTTCCTTAGCTGCCAAGCCACGCATACGCCCGTACCCCAGCACGTGAGGTCGGTCTGCGTGCACATAGTGAAGACAGAACAAAAGGAGCGTTCGTTGCTTTGTTTCCAACCTCCGTGAGAGGTAGCTAGTCCCCTGAGACCCACGCAGGCCAATCCGTTCGCCACTGACCATGTGCGCCTTTTAAAAAATACGTTTTCGTGGATTTTTACAGAGTTGGGAAGGGAGGGAGCCGGAAACGTCCTTGATAGAGAAACACTGATCAGCTGCCTCCTGCACGGCCCCCACTGGGGATGGAGCCTGAAACCTGGGCATGTGTCCTGACCAGGAATCGAACCCGAGACCTTGTGGGGCATGGGTCGACACCCGACCACTGAGCCACACCGGCCGGGTGTGACTCTAAATGAAGATTACATGAAAGCAGAAATGCCATTCTTCCATCCCAGGTGACACATTGCCAGTGTGGCATGGCCACCTGTGGCCGGTGGCCGCCCTGTTGGGCAGCACCGTGTGGCTGCAGGAAGTTCACGTGAACAACGCGGAGCCGCACGGCCTCTAGAAGGAACTCCCTCCTCCCTGGAGAAGTTGCTGGGTCGACAGCTCAGCACCCAGCCTCTTTCCCAGGGTTCTGCTCTCCTGGCAGGGGAGGTAGCCGGCATGAGGAGGAAGAGCCCGCCCACCCGGAGCTGGAACCGGGGCCTCCTGGTTGTTAGGCGGACTTGCTGCGTGACCTCCCCTGAGTCACGGCCCTCTCTGAGCCTCCCATTCCTCACCCGAAATGAGGAAGTTGGCTGAGCTCATGTGGACATCCCTGGCAGCCTCTGGTGATTCATGGGCCTGCCTGTCACCTGCAGACACACGGAGGGCAGGGAGGGTGTGAGGGGACCACACATGGGGAGGGCAGGGCGTGCCTGCCTCCCTCCCCTAACACCCGGGCTTGGTCACTGGGGACACACACAGGAAGTCTACCGCCCTGGCTTCGGTGGGGCGGAGGGTGGGGGTGGACTCCAGCACAGAGCATCC